TAGACTTTATTAATTCATTTCATTGTATATTCTAACATTATTTTAACTTCATATGTACGCCCTTTAGTCCTACCCGAACATCTGGTATTTGAAGAAATCTGGATATATTCTTATTGATTTATCCTTAAATAAACAATAGTTTTGCAATTCACTGTGGGAGTTCTGCTCTACTGATAATTCATTATTTGAAGAACTTCAGAACCATATAGGCTCTTAATAATTTGATTAACATGGAAATCAATAATCTAATAATACACGTTTTTTATGACAATGGTATTTTTGTAAAAATAATTTCATTTAGAAAATTGAATTGTATTATTAATTTATTGAATATTAGTTAAAAGTTTCATAACGATATTGAGGTAGGTAATTATCAATTGAACCGTCAAAATAAAAAGCATTGTAAAGAGAAACGCACATCGCAACATTTATATAACTAATAAATAATACTATTTTTAATAGGTGTTCTTTTTATATTTTTATTGTTTTCAACAACATGTTATGATTTAAAAGTTATTCTAACACCTTCTATTCTATTTTCATCGAACTGAAGAGATTTGACTCATTAGGTATTTTCCTTTGCATCGAATGTGTAGCATTGAGCTACGCCACTTCTAAAAATATCGTTCCATCCATACAAGTACAAGAGACATAAAGCTAAACGAACTTTTTATGTTTATTAACCAGATTAATATATTACACATCGGTGTATTATAGTCCGTTGCAAGATAACCTAGAAAGCGCAATGATCTGGCAACCTCTTGAATCGTTCGCTAAAATGCTGATCAGAGCCGGCTTAGTTTGAGTGTTATTTGTTCAAATGTTAAAGATCATTTTTAAAATTTGATTTATACAAAGATCCTTTTGCGGTCTAAATTGCAATGAAAAAATATAACATTTATTTCATTCATTTCAAAAATACTTTATTTACATAGGATTTTTAATAACATTTAAAATACATAAAAAATATAACACGCTGAGAACTTGAATTAAAATAAAAAAATAGCAAAGGTTTTATTTCCAAAAACAACATATGTTCAACTAAAAAATATATTGAAAATTGAAACTGACTAAAATTATTAAGTATTAATTTAAAAAAATGTCTATATTTCTAAATCACTTTCACAGTCACTAATTTCATGTTCTGAAATAATATCACTATCATCATTAGTCATCCAAATTTATTTCAATTTTTAGAATTGCATTTTTAAATCTCATATATTATTTCTCTTCGATTTTTTTACATGTTGAATAGCGTTTTTCCAGTTTTCAACAGTTATACAGTTAAATGCATTTCTTACTATATCAATTACATAAGAAGTGGACTTAGGAGAAGAGTTATTTGCTCGAGAATAATTTTTTAACTGTGGCCATAATAATTCTATGGGGTTCAAAATACAGTTGTAGGGTGGTAAACGTAAAACTTTAAATCCGTGTTTTATTACTATACTAGCTGTTGCCCGCGGCTTTGCTCGCGACTTAGCTCGCATATTATCGTGTTATTAATATAAAAAAATACATAACTTCCTTTTTTATTAATTTTTAATATTTTTATTGATTTTCATTCATTTTTTTACATTTATTCAAATTCTTTTTTTTTTTTTAATTTTTATTTATTTGTATTCATTTTTATTCATATTTATTATTTTTTATTAATTTTTATTAATTTTTATTAATTTTTATTAATTTTTATTAATTTTTATTAATTTTTATTAATTTTTATTAATTTTTATTAATTTTTATTAATTTTTATTAATTTTTATTAATTTTTATTAATTTTTATTAATTTTTATTAATTTTTATTAATTTTTATTAATTTTTATTAATTTTTATTAATTTTTATTAATTTTTATTAATTTTTATTAATTTTTATTAATTTTTATTAATTTTTATTAATTTTTATTAATTTTTATTAATTTTTATTAATTTTTATTAATTTTTATTAATTTTTATTAATTTTTAATAATTTTTATTAATTTTTACTAATTTTTATTAATTTTTATTAATTTTTATTAATTTTTATTAATTTTTATTAATTTTTATTAATTTTTATTAATTTTTATTAATTTTTATTAATTTTTTTTAATTTTTATTAATTTTTATTAATTTTTATTAATTTTTATTAATTTTTATTAATTTTTATTAATATTTATTAATTTTTATTAATTTTTATTAATTTTTATTAATTTTTATTAATTTTTATTAATTTTTAATAATTTTTATTAATTTTTATTAATTTTTATTAATTTTTATTAATTTTTATTAATTTTTATTAATTTTTATTAATTTTTATTAATTTTTATTAATTTTTATTAATTTTTATTAATTTTTATTAATTTTTATTAATTTTTATTAATTTTTTTTAATTTTTATTAATTTTTATTAATTTTTATTAATTTTTATTAATTTTTATTAATTTTTATTAATTTTTATTAATTTTTATTAATTTTTATTAATTTTTATTAATTTTTATTAATTTTTATTAATTTTTATTAATTTTTATTAATTTTTATTAATTTTTATTAATTTTTATTAATTTTTATTAATTTTTATTAATTTTTATTAATTTTTATTAATTTTTATTAATTTTTATTAATTTTTATTAATTTTTATTAATTTTTATTAATTTTTATTAATTTTTATTAATTTTTATTAATTTTTATTAATTTTTATTAATTTTTATTAATTTTTATTAATTTTTATTAATTTTTATTAATTTTTATTAATTTTTATTAATTTTTATTAATTTTTATTAATTTTTATTAATTTTTATTAATTTTTATTAATTTTATTAATTTTATTAATTTTATTAATTTTTATTAATTTTTATTAATTTTTATTAATTTTTATTAATTTTTATTAATTTTTATTAATTTTTATTAATTTTTATTAATTTTTATTAATTTTTATTAATTTTTATTAATTTTTATTAATTTTTATTAATTTTTATTAATTTTTATTAATTTTTATTAATTTTTATTAATTTTTATTAATTTTTATTAATTTTTATTAATTTTTATTAATTTTTATTAATTTTTATTAATTTTTATTAATTTTTATTAATTTTTATTAATTTTTATTAATTTTTATTAATTTTTATTAATTTTTATTAATTTTTATTAATTTTTATTAATTTTTATTAATTTTTATTAATTTTTATTAATTTTTATTAATTTTTATTAATTTTTATTAACTTTTATTAACTTTTATTAACTTTTATTAATTTTTATTAATTTTTATTAATTTTTATTAACTTTTATTAATTTTTATTAATTTTTATTAATTTTTATTAATTTTTATTAATTTTTACTAATTTTTATTAATTTTTATTAATTTTTATTAATTTTTATTAATTTTTTTTAATTTTTATTAATTTTTATTAATTTTTATTAATTTTTTTTAATTTTTATTAATTTTTATTAATTTTTATTAATTTTTATTAATTTTTATTAATTTTTATTAATTTTTATTAATTTTTATTAATTTTTATTAATTTTTATTAATTTTTATTAATTTTTATTAATTTTTATTAATTTTTATTAATTTTTATTAATTTTTATTAATTTTTATTAATTTTTATTAATTTTTATTAATTTTTATTAATTTTTATTAATTTTTATTAATTTTTATTAATTTTTATTAATTTTTATTAATTTTTATTAATTTTTATTAATTTTTATTAATTTTTATTAATTTTTATTAATTTTTATTAATTTTTATTAATTTTTATTAATTTTTATTAATTTTTATTAATTTTTATTAATTTTTATTAATTTTTATTAATTTTTATTAATTTTTATTAATTTTTATTAATTTTTATTAATTTTTATTAATTTTTATTAATTTTTATTAATTTTTATTAATTTTTATTAATTTTTATTAATTTTTATTAATTTTTATTAATTTTTATTAATTTTTATTAATTTTTATTAATTTTTATTAATTTTTATTAATTTTATTAATTTTTATTAATTTTTATTAATTTTTATTAATTTTTATTAATTTTTATTAATTTTTATTAATTTTTATTAATTTTTATTAATAATTTTTATTAATTTTTATTAATTTTTATTAATTTTTATTAATTTTTATTAATTTTTATTAATTTTTATTAATTTTTATTAATTTTTATTAATTTTTATTAATTTTTATTAATTTTTATTAATTTTTATTAATTTTTATTAATTTTTATTAATTTTTATTAATTTTTATTAATTTTTATTAATTTTTATTAATTTTTATTAATTTTTATTAATTTTTATTAATTTTTATTAATTTTTATTAATTTTTATTAATTTTTATTAATTTTTATTAATTTTTATTAATTTTTATTAATTTTTATTAATTTTTATTAATTTTTATTAATTTTTATTAATTTTTATTAATTTTTATTAATTTTTATTAATTTTTATTAATTTTTATTAATTTTTATTAATTTTTATTAATTTTTATTAATTTTTATTAATTTTTATTAATTTTTATTAATTTTTATTAATTTTTATTAATTTTTATTAATTTTTATTAATTTTTATTAATTTTTATTAATTTTTATTAATTTTTATTAATTTTTATTAATTTTTATTAATTTTTATTAATTTTTAATAATTTTTATTAATTTTTATTAATTTTTATTAATTTTTATTAATTTTTATTAATTTTTATTAATTTTTATTAATTTTTATTTATTTATTTTTATTAATTTTTATTAATTTTTATTAATTTTTATTTATTTTTATTAATTTTTATTGATTTTTATTGATTTTTATTAATTTTTATTGATTTTTATTGATTTTTATTAATTTATATTAATTTTTAATTATTTTTAATAATTTTTATTAATGTTTACCCCCGTTTTCCCCCCTTAAAATGTGAAAATCCAAAAACCCTGAACACGTCATTAATAATTTGCAGTCATGTGGCACATTTTATTATTTTTTTTTTTATTTTTTTTTTTTTTATAAATGTGCCATATTCGCTAATTATTCGTTTTTTCTTTTTAGGACGGATGGTATTTTACCATGTTTGGTGCGTGTTGGTATAAATGCGGAGAACAAGGACAAACGTTGGTACATTTTCGACGGTCCTGTAGACGCAGTATGGATAGAAAATATGAATACTGTACTAGATGACAACAAAAAACTGTGCATGACCAGCGGTGAAATTATAAAATTGCGAGACACCATGACAATGATGTTCGAAGTTGCCGATTTGGCAGTAGCCTCACCTGCAACTGTCTCCAGGTAAGTGTTTATTTCATAGATGTAAGATGGAGAGAACCATAATAGTATATTACACACTATACACACCGAGGTGGGAAGAGTTTCATTCCTGTCGTGAGATTAGTTAGATCACCGAGACGCGAAGCGTCGAGGTTAGCTATGATCTCGAGACAGGAATGAAACTTCCTACCGAGGTTTGTATGCTATTTTATTTACAACCATCATATTTCGATCAAAGTTAATAAATCTCTGTTTTGTTCTGAACAAACCTAAAATATTACATTTAACGACAAATTACCAAGCGCGCGGTTTTCTCAGAAAAATCAAGTAGGTAAATATATTGTTACTGTGATTACGGGGTAAACAACTGTCACCAATATAAATAAATGTCAGATAAAGCCGGATATTAAATTCGCGAATAATAAATATCAATAAGTAGTATGTTATATTTTAGATCATTGTTGTTTTTTATTGTTTGCCATTAAACACTGTGTTATTATTTTTTTCAAATATAAAAATATTCATCTAGAATAGATGAAATGAGGGCGGGAAGTGAGGGCGGGAAGTAGGAGAGGTGTGTAATGTGACACTTCCCAACCTTCAATGACGTTAGTAATGGCAATATTACATATATGGTTGTAAATAAAAAATGTTTCTGAAGTAGCCTTGCAAAAATTTATGCATGTCGGAGCGTACACAATTTCTCTTTGTAAGTGTTAAAGTCTGGTGAAGCGGGTCCTGAAAAGGACATATTGGCTACGACCTCAAGTCTCCCTCGATATGGGTACTCTTGGCTCGACGTTGTGTCGTTTCAGCACATGGGAGTTAGGGCTCGCCTCGATACTGATAGCGCATTCCACTTGAACGGTCTTACTCGATGCCAAGCGGTTTTAGTTCTGCACTAATTTCGGGCAGCATTTTTAAAAATTGAAATTATGTCGAGCAATCCATATCATTTCATGGATATTCGACTGTTACAGTTGACAATGGGGGTTATGATTGACAACCTGTGTATTTTTAACAGGTCTGTTATTTTATAAACACACAGAAATAACAACCTGTTTACAAATAACGTGTCTGTTAAAAATAACATTTTTTTTTGAAGGGTGTAAAGTTGAGAACCTTTATTTTTTAATATATAATTATATAATAATGTAATAATAATATTTATTTACCAATACAAAATTAAATACATACGTATTTTAGAAAGGAACAAAATAGAGGGCATATCACAGAAGGCATAGAGTCCTGTCTCGTGCGTGGTAGATATAATTCTTAATTTTTTTTTTTGGCTAACTGTAATAAAATATTTCTTAATAAAAAATAAAAAATAAACACACATTTCTTAATATAAAAAATAGATACATATAAAAATAAAAAAAAAATCTTTAGTTTTGAGATAATTAATAGATGTTTACCCTTCTTTAAAAAATAAACATACAAAATGGATGTGTTGAATATTGCGCATTTCGTTTATGTCTTGTATGGTATGTATATGCGTAATATGTTTTAATTCTTCTTTATTTTTGTTCCCCACATAACCTTACCTTTTTTAGTTTTGACATATTTATCATTTCATTTTAAAATGTTTAAGTTGTTTGTATTTGAGGTTGGTCAAGCGTCGATCTGAGTCGTCGATTTCGTAACTGATGTCATGGTTATAACGTTAAGTCTTAAGTAGATATATCGGCTCGACGTCTTTTGAGGTGTGCCCTGATTGGTCGAGCCTTGACGACCGTGGTCATGGAATTTTTATGAAAACGAAAAAAGAAATATAAACAAGACGACGACAAGTACTGGAAGAAGACTGTCAATACATTAATAATATTATACTTGTTTTGAAGTCTAAATAAATTTTTATTATTATAGCGACATTATCTAAATCATATTCAAAAACCTACAATTGGTGACCCCGTTAGCAGCACCACCTTACCAAAATTATGGAACAGGAGTAATCACCAAACAGAAAAAGGAGAACAGAAAAGTCGGGGAGTAATTTCGGAAGACGACGGGACCCACCAACCAAGATAAGAAATTAACTACAGAACAGGGAATCCGAATCAGCGTCGTCGAGGCTCGGGTACGTGGGGTTTTATCCTCATTAGATAGTCGAGTCGATATACCTCCTGAGACGATTGTATTGCTTTCTGACATGCCATCAGACGATGAAGGCTCTTCGACCCAACCTTCCATTTCATTGCAGAACAATATTTTTTTGGAAGATATATCAAAAGTAAAACTTCCAGCTTTTTGGGCCCATCAACCAGATCTATGGTTCAAATAGATCGAAAGTCAATTTTTCATCCATAAGATCACTTGAGAAAAAAGTAAATTTCACTTATCTGTAGCACATCTACCAGCAGATATATTCAGCAAAGTTTATGACATAATCTCAGATCCTCCAGAGAGTAATACCTTTTCCGTTTTAAAAGAAACTATTATTAACAGACTTTCACTTTCGGACTGCGAAACGCAGGCAATACATTCCAAAGATTTATCACAGAAGTAACTAGAGGCCTAGATTTTATTTTCGTGTACTTAGATGACGTACTTGTAGCTAGTAAAAATGAAGTTGAATATCTTAACCATTTGGATATTTTATTCCAAAAATTAGAATCTTTTGGCATCAATGTCAAGCCAAGCAAATGCATTTTCGTAGTTGAAAAAATTAATTTCTTATGTTTTACTATTTCAGCTAAAGGACTATGACCTTCAGAGGAAAAAATCGAATGTATTAAGCATTTTCCTAAGCCCAGTTATCTCAAATAATTACAGCGTTTGATTGGCATGATTAATTTCTATCATAAATTTGTTCCTAAGTTTGCTCAAATTTTAGCACCATGATTTTGTAACATTTTAGACAAAAACAACATTAAAATTATAGAAGATTGGCCAAGTGAATACGAAAAGAGTTTTAATGAAGCAAAAAAATCGCTTATTAAAGCTTCTTTATTAACTCATACATTAGAGGAAGCTACATTATCACTTACAACAGATGCTGTGTTGGGGGCGTGCTAGAACAAGAGATCGATGGTGTTAGACAACCCATCGCCTTTTTCTCAAAAAAATTATCAAAATCTCAACTAAATTATAGCGTTTTTGATAAAGAATTATATGCAATTAGGGTTTTTTGTGATCATAAACCGATCGAAAAAGCGATTTTTTTTTTCAAACAGATAGGTCTCCTAAACAATTCAGATATACAGAATATATTTTACAATTCACTAATAAAATCCTCTATGTAGGCAGCAAAAATGTAGTAGTTGCAGATTTTTAAGTAGGTTAGAGTTAGACGTAATTTCAGTAAAAAAAAATAGAGGCAGAAATTGATTTAAAAATTGTAGGAGACGAACAAATATTAGATTTGGAATTAAAGAGTTTATTAGAAAAAGAAAATTCAAAAAATAATAAGAAAAAATTACACCAGCAGAAATATGGTGTGAAAAAAATAATGAAATTTTCAAACCTTACATTCCCAAGTCACTACGTTATAGTATTTTCACTAAAGTACATAACTTGGCACATACAGGAGGTAAGAGTACCTTAAAAATGATCAAAAATAGGTGTTTGGCCTAGGACGAGTAAAGATATATTCCTGGTCAAAGTCTTGTATCAGTTGCCAAAAAGCCAAGATTTCAAGACACACAAAATCAGCTCCAAGTGATTTTTCGGTTCCAAAAGATAGGTTTCAACACACATACATACAGATATTGTTGGACCTCTTAAACCTTCAGGGAATTGTTTATATTTATTAACTCTTACAGATAGATTCACTAGATGGGTAGAAGCTTACCCTTTAGCAACAATTACCACAGAAGTATAGCTCGATTTGGCGTACCTCATAGCATTACGCATAACCAAGGTAGCCAATTCGAGTCACATTTATTTATAGAATTTAGTAAAAAATTATGTTTTAAAAATTTACATACCACTACCTATCATCCGAAAGCGAACGGAATGATAGAACGTTTCGATAGGATATTAAAAGCATCTCTTATGGCTAAACTCCATAATAATAATTAGAAAGACGAGTTGCCATTAATTATGTTAGGTTTGAGAACTGCGGTAAAGGAAGATTTGAATTGTTCTTCCGCTGAATTAGTTTATGGAAAAACATTATGATTACCAGACGATTTTTTTATTGATAATAACGAAACTTTTGATACAGATTCATTTTTAATTAAATTACAAAAAAAATTTGATAATATTAAACCCTTTAAAGTAACTAGACATGGCACAACGAAAACTTTTATTTCACCAGATTTGATGAAAAATGATTTTGTTTTTGTTAAAGTTCAGGGCACCAAACCTTCCTTAACCCCTCCTTTGAAGGACCATATAGGGTGTAACGTAGAAACGATGAGGTTTTTAAAATTTTAATTAATGGTAAAGAATCATTAATCAACATAGATAGGTTGAAGCCAGCCTTTTTATTAGTTGAAAAAGATATTGTTCATAGCGTTGTTCAGAAACCAGTTAAAAAGGTTTCTTTTGTATTAAACCCAATAACTTAGGGTTAGTTTTGTATTTTTTTAAATTTTTTATGTGGCATTAATAATATTTTTGAGCGGGGAGGTTATATGTGGCGACATCATGTTTCCCACATAACCTTCCCTTTTTTAGTTTTGACATATTTGTCATTTCATTTTAAAATGTTTAAGTCGTTTGTATTTGAGGTTGGTCAAGCATCGATTTCGTAACTGATGTTATGGTCATAACGTTGTTAAGCCTTAAGTAGATATATCGGCTCGACGTCTTTTGAGGTGTGCCCTGATTGGTCGAGCCTTGACGACTGTGGTCATGGAGTTTTCATGAAAATGAAAGAAGAAATATAAACAAACAAGACGACGACAAGTACTGGAAGAAGACTGTCAATACAGTATTAATATTATACTTGTTTTGAAGTCAAAATAAATTTTTATTATTATAGCGAGATTGTCTAAATCATATACAAAAACCTACAATTTTTATGTTGTTTTTATTATTTTGACGGCATAAAGTTGGCGAATATCAAACGAATTGGACTTTTCATATATGGCATCAGAGGGGTACATTCTATTCTTGCTCATTCATATTTTAAAATATATTTTTTACTATTTCCTGCTGCTTTAAATGAGCTTTATAAGCTCCGCCCCACCCAAATATTGCGTATTGAATGTGACTCTCGACTAAAGCCGTATATACTAATTTTATCTGTTGCATATTTAAGATTTTCTTTAGTTACCTGAACCGGTATAGTAATGATCTGACTTTTTTAGTTACACATTTTATATGGAAATCCCATCTTAAGAATTTGTCTATTTTGGAAATACATTTATTATGCAAAATATAAAACTGCTTTTTTTCAAGGTAAATCGATAATATTGGATACCTAAGCGTAGTTTCCAATTCTGATCAACTTTTTTTCATAAAAATTGTCAATACTATTAAAAACAAGGATATTTCATTCCTGCAAAAAATCTTATTTTCCGACAAATAGAGCATGCAGCTTTAAATATAGAATAGCTGTTTTTTTATAAAACTGTTCATAAAAAGTTTAAAATTTGGTATTTTTCAGTTGAGTTATCTTCAAAATTCTGATTTTTCACTTTTTATCAAATATCTTGAATACGACCAATTTAAAGAAAATTATTTATAAAATAAAAATTATAGAGAATAATATTTCGAACAACTTTTGTATAAAGAATTTTTTTTTTCAAAGCGTAAATAACAGATATTTTTATAAAGCAGAAAAACGACCGCCATAAAGTACCCCCACATATTCTAATTGTGCCCAAAATCTAATAAGATCACCAAAGGATAAGTTAAAGCTTAATTTTAAAATTTGGTGTTTTTCTGATTATCGGTTCATGAGTTATCGAGTATAGAAACGACGGCATTGTATATTTTCGGAGGTTATATCTCGAAAACGGTTTGAACCCAATCGAAACAAATTGCTAGTCCACAGAGCCCATTGCTTACTGATTCAGGCCCAATAGTTGGTATGACCAGCCTATTCATTGCGATGCTCTACCGTCAAGATGGCATCGCCCAAATGCCGAATATTAAGGGCCCAATAATGATATAGCACGTTGTTCGATTTCTATTATTTTTTTTTTTTTTTATAAAGGGGGTACCTCAAGGGTGGTACCATATATTCTTACAATTCGCAAAGGCATTTGGAGTCGATTTTTTAAAATAACTTTCATAACTTATCTTTTACGGCGGATTCAACTCATTCTTTCTGCACTCATTGTTGACCGTGGACAACGAATAGTACCGGCTAACACTTCCAACATAATAATACTGATGATACTTATTTTAAAATATAACATTTTTAGATGCGGTATGGTGTACCTGGAACCAGCTGTCCTTGGTTTAGATCCGTTCGTCAACTGTTGGCTAAGAGCGTTGCCTGAAGTAAGTTTATTGTGTTATAAAAAGTTAAATAAAAAAAATATGAACACATTAGTGAAAGGAATAATCTTCACCCAACAAAAAAGTGCAAATTTGCAAAATATTAAATATCTAATATAAGTTTGTGCGAAAAAAGTTGATACGAAATCAACTCGAGTTGTACAGCATATATACACTAAATAAATACTACACATATTTAAAACGTTACAAAAAATAAGATTTTAAACCTTTTACTAATTTACAATTGGTTGCAGTTTCGTTGAATTCGAGGCCTACATCACTAGAACCGAGAACTCAATGGCTAGGACATGACATCTTTATTTATTTATTTGGTGTTTCAAGTTGCACACCTACTATTACTTTTGTTTACTTATATATTTGTTAAAGATAATTTTTCTGTTTATTATTGAACTTTCATTTATATCTAGTGCCCTATTTAGGCACTCATTTCTAGATTATCTCAAAGTCACATCTACAAAAATAAACTATCATTTACGGATCGAAGTTACTTGCTGCTCATCGAGTTCATTCAGCCATAAAAAAATCTTCTTAATAATTAAATTTTCCATTTTTAGTTAGTTCAACCTTACGAGGAAGAACTCAAAACTCTAATCCACTACTATGTCCTACCAGCAATACACTTTATGAGATCCAAATTAAAAGAAATATTGGTTTCTGTTGATTCCGCCATTTTGATATGTTTTCTTCAACTGATGACATACAAATTGGAGCCCGTTTCTGGCGTTAGGGTTCCACCACAACCTCAATTTTTAGCTTTAATGAGTAAGTATATTCTTCTTAATCGGTTTAGAAGACTCTTATGATTCATTTCTGTTTCTTATCAGCTTCTTTCTTTATACTGCTCTTCATAAAATTACAACACCTGTCAGCGCTTGAATATATGTTAATCATAAGGTACTGGCAAGCCTAAATATTTGGTATAAGCTCATTACTTCCAGTTCATTAGTTCTCTATGTTAGTTTATCAGATTATCCATATTCCCTCATCTTTTTTCCATGATTCATAATCCATCACCTATATTCATCCATAATCGCGTAATCCGTAATCCATATTCGCGTAATCCGTAATCCATATTCGCGTTATCCATAATCCGTAATCCGTTATTTCTGTCTCTTCAATTGACTGTATTAGGTTTAGGAATGGACGTTGGACTAATCGGCATAAATAAACAATTGAAAACATTTGCCAGAACCTTCCAAGCATTGTTTAAAATAAAATTGACCACAAGAGACGTGATTAATCACCATTTTACAAAAAAAAAACTAAAATTTTTGACAGGTGCCAAAGCAGTTTTTAAGGCGAAATAATTCTAGCTGTCTTGGAACTGCATAACATGCTTAGAATTTTTTCGTAGTTTTTAATTAATTTTTTTTTATTGGTATAATTTTTAGAGGGTCTTCTGGCTCCTTGGGTAATTTTTTGTATGATATGGAGCATTGGTTGTACATGTGACAATGATGGGCGAGTTATGTTTGACAAATGGTTAAGAGAAAAGATGAAGGCAAGAGCAGACAAACCTTATTTTCCAAAGGATGCAATGTGCTATGATTTCAGGTATGTATCATTTAGTACTTAAATAGATAGTGTGTCTATATTTGCGCCTTAAAAGACACCGACTTATTTATCAAAAATAAAATTAGGTATACTTCCTATATTATGTACAAAATACATTTTAAAAATATACATAATATATAAACTGCAGATACCTATGATACCTACGGTACTATTGTGAGTGTGGTACTTCTCCCGTGTGTTATTATTCCACATTATAAGAATTTGAGCCAAAAGTAATTTTGTTTTTGTCATCATAACCTAAAGGTTTTCCCATTAGGGGCGTATTTTTTGTTTGGTTATAATTTTTATACTTAACATTGAAAATGTCAAAAAATATTGATACATATTTGAAATATCCTATAGTTAGAAATTTATAAAATAGACATATATATCGTGCATATTCGGTGCTACATTTTACAATCCACTGACAATGGATTTATTGAGAGGAAAATGTCTTCAGGGAAATGTCTTCAGGAACGGTGATGTTAACTGATCACCAAGATCATGTGATTTGACACCGTTGAACTTTTACCTTTGGGACTACATGAAAAACCAAATCTACAGAAACAATCTACAAACGATTCCTGATTTAAAAACCGAAATAATTATTATTATTGGTGAGAGAACTGATAGAACCACAATTATGTGAAAACGTGATGCAAAAATTGATGCCATTTATTAAACATTAATTCAAGCAGTCAGACGAGATGGTCGGCAAAACATGTTGCTGTGAAAGCTTTCTTAAATAATTTGCCGAAAGTGGTATAATCCTTGGAAGAACTTAAGCAAACTTTTCATGCTCCGGAAGCAAAGTACGAGGCAGGTAGTCTCTTAAATGCAAAAAACAATTTTAAATTTATATTGAACTTGACGATTTGGGCAAATATTCTCCGCGAAATCAATCGAGTGAATATTCAAAAGCAAGATATAATCTCGTTTCGTCTCTTTAATGGATGGCCTGATGAAAACTTTACAAAAAATGAGAGAAAATTCAATTGAATATTGAATAGAAGAGGCTAAAGGAGTTGCTGGAAAAATTGGCGTCGAACCTATTCTGCCAAATAAACGAATTCCGAGGTGCAAAAAACAATTTGACGAGATGTGTGATAACGAATCACGAACACTTCAACCAGTTCAACTTTTTTCTCAAGCAACAATGATGGTATTTGATAGAATCTTATTAGAAATTAAAAAGAGGGGATAGTGCTACCACGTTGAATTCGAATTTCGCATTTCTAAATGGTACTGAAAGTTTGAATATGTCAAATGAAGAACTGCAAAAGCATGAAGTAGATCTGGGAATTGTACCAGGATCTCTACGTTTTTAAAGAGTGTACTGTGAATGCTTATGTAAAGCAGCTCAGGAGAGAGAAAAAATGGATTGTCGGCTCACTTCTAAGTCTTACCTTGTAAAATAAGATTGCTACTCCCAAAATCCTTTCCTTGATGAGTCCCGGCCGGGAACAGAAATGTTCCTTGAATGATTAGTCGGGTAACACGTCACTCCCGTTAATTTGGTTTTTCTTTTGTGCGTTGAAACGTCCGTGAGGACCGCGTGTTTGAATTTTTAATATTATTGTGCTGACAATTGAATCGGTACTGACTCGTAGCGGTCAGAGTATTGTTCGACGAGAAGGAAAAAAACTTAGAAGATTAAATTCGCGATCAATAAGTACAAAATTAAAGGCATACAGAGTGACCCTTTGACCGAATTGGCTAAATAATAACGAATTAAAATTAAATATATAATGTAACGTAAATACATTGGCATGACATTATGCCATTATTAGAATATAAATTAAAGAAAACTGCATAAACCATTCATTGCATTTCATATTCCCAAAAAACAAATAAACAAAAAAAAAATAATAATTCTATGACAAAGTTGACGAAACATGCCGCCCACCTAAAATACGCAGTATTTTACCTACGATGAATCGAGCGGAAGCGGACATAACTTGCTGGTCGGCCGCGTTAATACCCCGGTGGCGGTGCGAACAGAGGCGACGCGAATAATACCGTCAGGCCCAGGAAAGGTTTCGAGGATGCGACCTAAACTCCATTTCATAGGGGGAGAAGAATCACTTTTTATTAAAACCAGAGAGTTTTTAGTTAACGACGAAATCGGATGGGATGTCCATTTGACTCGTTGATGCAGTGTGTGTAAATACTCATAGGACCAACGAGACCAGAAATCTTGGTGCATGCGCGTAAGTAACTGCCAACGACTCAGTCGATTAAGAGGGGTAGACAAAAAGTTAGGCTCGGGAGGAGCTGTAAGCGGTTCAAGCGTGAGAAAGTGACCAGGGGTCAAAGCCGTTAGATCATGAGGATCATTACTAAACGGCGTTAATGGGCGCGAATTAAGTATCGCTTCAATTTGAACAAAAACAGTAAGTAATTCTTCATAGGTCAATATTTGATCTCCAACTACTCGATATAGATGCGATTTGACAGATTTTACACCCGCCTCCCACAACCCCCCAAAGTTTGGAGCACTAGCAGGGTTTTTTTTCCATACAATTGCCTCTTGCGTAGCAGCGTTTTCGACAAAACTATTTAATAGCCGATAGGCACCTACAAAATTTGTTGCACCATCACTATAAATGACTTGACAACGACCTCGGCGAGAAATGAAACGACGAAAAGCCGCTAAAAATGCCTCTGCAGTCAAATCAGAGCACAGTTCGAGGTGTAATGCTTTTGTCGTGAAACAAACGAAAAGACAGAGATAGGCCTTTGTGGTTTTCACTCCACGATGCTTTGTCATAGTGATAGTAAACGGGCCGGCGTAATCAACTCCAACATGAAGAAAGGGTTTAGCTTGAGTAAGTCGCGTGGCGGGCAAATCTCCCATCAAAGGCTGGAGAGAAAGAGGATTCATTTTCCAACACTTAATGCATTTGGACAATACTTTACGAATAATAATTTTTGATGAAATTATCCAAAATTGTTGGGCTAAAAGAAATTGCGTTGTGGTGATTCCACAATGGAAATATTTGAGGTGTGTTGAGTTAATGAGCAGATCAGTAAATCGGCAGTGTGGTAAAAAGGCGGGAAATTTTCGATTAAAAGTAATAGGTGCATGTCTTAGGCGTCCTCCAACCCTGAGGATGCCTTTATCGCCCATAAATGGACAGAGCTTTTGAAAGGATTTAGGAATTTTACGACCCTTGCGAATGTTGGAAATTATTTCCGAAAAGTTTGTAGCTTGAACATGTTTAACAAAAGTTTGTTGTGCATCATACAACTCAAGCGAGACTAAATGTCCTATTTTTTTACCACCTAAATTCAATTTTTTAGTTCGGCAATTAAAATTAAAACGTAGCACATATGCGACTATACGTATAGAAGTTGATAAAGAGGAATGATCTTGTAATAACTGATCTAAAAAATTTATATCAGCATAAGTAGTGGCAAGGACAATTTTCCTCTCTTCCTCTAAGGCCTCATGGGGAGGTGAATTCAACGGTGGAGTTGACCATGACTCAGATGACTGAGTAAGAAAAGCGGGTCCCGCCCACCATAAGGAAGACTGCGATAACACATTCGGAAAAAGCCCACGACAATTGATATCAGCGGGATTTTCACCGGACGTAACGTGATGCCATGAAGAAGGAGGAATAATTTCCTGAATGAGAGATACTCTATTAGAAATAAATGTTTTCCAACGATATGGCGGTGAAGTAATCCAATAGAGTGCCACAAGCGAATCGGACCAACACACAATGTTTTCAAAGTGAAGTTTGTCACAAAAGACCTGTTGAATGAAGGCAACTAGTTTCGCCACTAGAACACAAGCACAAAGTTCAAGTTTTGGCAATGAGATTTTCTTTAACGGTGCGACCTTGGACTTTGAAATTACAAAATAAGAAAATGTCTCACCTAAAGCAGAAGTGAAACGAAAATATGCGACTGCGCTATAGCCCTTTTCACTGGCATCGCCAAAACAATGAAGTTCGCATGAATTAAATTGACGAGGTTTTAGTAAACGAGGAACTTGAATGTCAGAAAGAACGGGAAGAGTAGTATGTATCCGATTCCACACCCGACATATTTCTCCAGACGGAATCTCGTCCCATCCAATTTTAAGAGTCCAAATATGTTGGATTAGGGTTTTTATAAGAAAAGTCACAGGTGATAAAAATCCCAGGGGATCAAAGATTCTGGCAAGATTTGACAACAGATTTCGTTTCGTGCATTGAGGGCTAACAGGGTTGACTCGAAAATGAAATATGTCAATGTTGGGATTCCATTGAAGTCCCAAAACCTTGTGACCACTATCACAGTCCTGATCGAACGAATGAGGATTGTTGAGCAGTGTTTCAGAAGGTAAGTGATCTAATAATGATTGAGCATTGCTCGACCACTTGCGTAACACAAACTGACCACGGTGAAGCAATTGTATCAGTTGCCGTTGCAACTCAAGAGCTTCCTCAGCACTTGAAGCGCCTGTGACCACATCATCGACAAAAGTGTGATGACGCAAAGCATGTGCTGCTAAAGGATAATCCTTTCCATCATCCTCAGCTAACTGAAGTATTGTACGAATTGCCAAAAATGGCGCGCACGCAGTTCCATATGTAAGAGTTGTTAATTTGTAATCTTGTATTTCTTCATGTGGAGAAAAGCGCCACAAAATACGCTGCAAATCTTGATGATCTGGCGTAATTAAAATTTGACGATACATCATCTTGATGTCAGCAGTGAAAACAAATAAATGAAGTCGAAAGTTCAGAAGAATGTTGATTATATCGCGTTGAAGTTTTTGTCCAATAAAAAGATGATCATTTAAAGACGTATGCCCGGGAAGTTTTGCGGAGGCGTTGAATACTACGCGGAGTTTGGTAGTAGAACTTTCAGGGCGTAGAATACAATGATGCGGTATGTAATAAAAACCAGGGCGGTTCGATTCGGGTGGTGAAGCAACTTCCATATGATGTAACTCCAAATATTCCTGCATAAAGGCACAATATTGGCGATAAACATCAGGTTGTTTTAACAAGCGTCTTTCTAATGAAAGAAAACGAGAAAGAGCAAGATCTCTTGATCCACTAAAATTATATTCAATATTTTTTAAAGGTAAATGTAAGATGAATCTGCCGTCGTGATTTCGAGAATGTGTTTTAGAAAAGATTTCCTCACACACTTTTTCGTCAGAAGAAATGTGGTGTGCTGTAGGAATTGTTTCTAATTCCCAAAACACCTTTACAGCATTTTCTAAACGTGATAACTTATTTGTAGCACAAAGAAGCGAGGTTGGAATTATCGAGGCAGGTGTGGAACGAACTTGTCCCATTAAAACGTAGCCAAAGATGGTGTTAAGTACGTCAGGTTGACCCTCAGTTCCTAAAATACGACCATCCAAAAGTATCTTTGCGAAGATATCAGCCCCTAACAAAATATCGACAGGACCTGGTTTCGAAAAATTGGCATCTGCCATCTTCAAATGACGAGTATGGCTCCACGTAGCAACAGGAAGTTCCGATGAAGGTAAATAATTACAAATCTTGGATAAGATTGCAGCGTCAACAACAAGAATTGGAGTTGATGATTCAATAGGGCGAATTAACAATGTCACTTTACCATATGGAGCGTTAGAAGCCATGGAATCGATACCCTCAAGTTCCAGATAGAAGGGTGTTGGTTTTAAACCTAAATGATTTGCAACCTTGCGAGTTATGAACGATGTCATACTACCAGAATCTAAGACACACCGGTATTGGTGATATAAACCCCGACTATCCCCTACATTTATCATCGCTGTAGAAAGTAAAACTGTAGTTTTACAAGTTGACGAGGCAAGAAGAACTGTGGAAGAGGATGAGGAGGTATTAAGTTGAGCACTTGTATTTGCAGATGGCCCTCTGTCTTCCATGACAGGCGAAGAATTCTCAAAATGTAAGACAGTATGATGATTTTGACCACATTTGCGACATGTGGATCGTGATTGACAATTTTTTAAACTATGAACATTACTCAAACAATTTATGCACAATTTGTGAAGCTTTGCAATGTTATAGCGCTCTTTGGGAGACTTTTTTAAAAACTCCGAACACCTATAAAGAAGATGTTCTGATTTACATAAAGGACAGATAATATTCGGCCTTTCCGAATTGTTGAAAGTGAGCAAAGAGGTTGAACGAACCGAAAAAGGCGTGTTTCGTTTCTCATAAACTTTTTGCGATTTACATTTCCGCGTCAATTGAACATTTTTTATTGATTCACAATGATTAATTAAAAACTGAACCAAAGAATGGTAAGTGGGCATTGTGTTCGGGGCGTGTTGTAATTCGAAACGAGTTGCAATAGTCTCGTCAATGCGATTCATTAGCATTTGTACCAAAATAAAATCCCAATGTTGAGTAGGTAAATTTAAATTTTTTAAAGCATCAAGATTCTCAGTAAAAATATCTAAGAGCTTGCGTAACTCCAAAGAATTAGAAGCTGGTTGTAATTTCGGAGCATTTTCAATAGCGGACCAATGTGCTGCAGCAATAGCTCGTGAATTCTTGTACCTATCCAAGATTGTTTGGCGAGCAATACTATAATTAGTCGCCGATAAAGTTATATTTTTAATTATCCCTAACGCTTGACCCTTAAGCGATGATCGCAGATATTTATGTTTTTCAATATCACTAAGTTTTGAATTATTATCAACAATTGCATCAAACATATCTATAAACGCAGTAAAATTTACGATATCATCGTCACCTGAAAATGTTGGCAATTGAATTTTTGGTAAAGCGATATTTGCGTGAGAATCATCACCACTAGTTGTTCGGGTTTGCGCAGAAGTAGGTAGCGGGATTTTGGAAAAAACCAAATTAATTTCATAATATTTTTTGTCAAAAGTTTTTCTAACTCCATCTTCAACATCAAACTGTTCATCCGTTTCTAATAAACCGATTATAACGTTATGTTGTGCGAAAAAGTTTGAACGAATTTGTTCCACATCCTGGTAACAAATTTTAAAAAGCGAAATTGAATCAGGATTATTTAAATTTTGTGCAATTACAAAAATATCATCTAACCGCTGAATTTCAGTTTTTCTTAAAGATGAAGCTTTTTTAATTTTAGCTTCAGACATATTTTCCGTCTAGGTAAAACAGAGAAAGAAACCAAACGATAGGTATTGAGCGAAATAATATGAATATATTTATAAAAATGCGAAACAGCTGACTAGAATCCGAAGCCGTAAATAAAAATAGCGATACGTCGAAAAAACCACAATTTGACGAAGCAAATTCAAAAGAGAATGAAAATAACAAATTGTGCTTGCGAATCAAAATTCCAGCGCCGCGAATACCGATACAAAGCACAATTAAAATAACCAAACTCGTTCACCTACCTATGCGAAAGTTCCACGAAAGTTCAGTTGTAATTTCGAATAGAGAGTAAAAGAGAATACGATAATTCAGGTTTCATCTCTAGTTGCGCGCGCGTATATAGATACGCTGCTACCTAAAATCTTCGGTGGGCTGGTTGGTTTGTAATTCCAATTTTATTTGCTATAATTTTGCCGGTACCACAAAAAATTGATATTTGAGAATATTAAATGCAATGAACAAAAATTCCTATGTAACTTATTTTTACGATTTAAAAGTAAATTAGCCAATCCGAATCGGAGGACCAAAATTGATGTACTGTGAATGCTTATGTAAAGCAGCTCAGGAGAGAGAAAAAATGGATTGTCGGCTCACTTCTAAGTCTTACCTTGTAAAATAAGATTGCTACTCCCAAAATCCTTTCCTTGATGAGTCCCGGCCGGGAACAGAAATGTTCCTTGAATGATTAGTCGGGTAACACGTCACTCCCGTTAATTTGGTTTTTCTTTTGTGCGTTGAAACGTCCGTGAGGACCGCGTGTTTGAATTTTTAATATTATTGTGCTGACAATTGAATCGGTACTGACTCGTAGCGGTCAGAGTATTGTTCGACGAGAAGGAAAAAAACTTAGAAGATTAAATTCGCGATCAATAAGTACAAAATTAAAGGCATACAGAGTGACCCTTTGACCGAATTGGCTAAATAATAACGAATTAAAATTAAATATATAATGTAACGTAAATACATTGGCATGACATTATGCCATTATTAGAATATAAATTAAAGAAAACTGCATAAACCATTCATTGCATTTCATATTCCCAAAAAACAAATAAACAAAAAAAAAATAATAATTCTATGACAAAGTTGACGAAACAAAGAGCAAGGTCCACTTTTATTTGTAGATATAAAAAATGCTAGCGCTTTCAATCTCTTGCAACAGATTTATACGCATAATTTGCAGAATGCCTTTCCCAATATTTGTATTGCTATAATAATTTACTGTACGCTTCCTACTACATCCGTAATCTGCGAGTGAAGTTTTAGCAAACTTAAACTTATCAAAAATTATCTACGATCTTCGATGAGCCAGAAACGTTTATCAAGTCTTGCCATATTAGCAATAGAAAATCAAATTGCTTATTAAATTAATTATGATAAGGCCATAGATTTGTTTGCAGAAGAGTAAAATTATATTTTCAATGTGTAATATAATAATAATTTTAACCTAATGTTTTATTCAGACCCTATCCTGTCCTAACCTAATTAAAATATATGTCCGAGTCTGACACATCCTGGTATTTTTCGAAAAAATATTGACTTAACAGAGAAAGAGGAGCGGTATACCGGTAGTTATGGGAGGAGGCCTATGTCCATCAGTGGCGGGTGTGGGCGGCATTCTTCAGTTTTTGCGCTGCCTCAAAAAAATTCAAGAACCGGGGCTGATTAATTGCTTAAACTTTCACTTCACTTTCAATCAAAAATTAAGTTTTAATAACCAATAAAAAAATTGCGTCCCTAATGGAAATAGCTATTTGGGTATGAAGGACGAAAAATCATATTTTTCCGCTTGAGTCAGAAAGTTGCCCGCCTAGCGGCAATCTGTCAAAAGCGGCAACGAACTTTTCGCCCAAAATACACAAGCCTTTTCTACGATCACATTATTTTAAGAAACTGAAAATTTGTCGTAAGTAGTGTATAATATGTTGCCTATATCTACGTTAATCATGTAAAACGTTGTTTCTGTTTTTTAATGACTGGTTCGTATTCTTTTTCTTTCACTTCTTCTACTTCTTTAGTCTGAACTTTCGTCTATTGAAAAGTCCATAGCTATTGACTGGACAGCTTCAAGTTTAGATCGTCCATTCTCGCGTTGCAAATAACTTATTGTCTTCAGTCTTCAAGTGGGCCTGGTGCCATCCTGTAAGAGAAGTTTTTAAATGCTTTGATCTCTAAGATATGGTTACGTCATGAAATAAAAGTAAATCGTTTCAAAAATCGGAAATGTAAAATATATCTAAATCTCAAACCGTTTATAATATAATTATTAACTTGGTAGGATTCCCCATTCGACCATTCACTGTTGGGTTCTAATTAACAGTGCTGTTCCTAAAGTGGCGCTGGGAAACAGTAACAAAGCCTACACAGAACACGAGGCGAAATAACCCTGGTAGTTGAAGCCGATGACACACAAAAAAAAAATAACAATACTAAAGCAATCTCGTTTTCAAGCGCTGCTTCAGCTTTCGCCTTATACAGACCGCTTAATCGCTGTCAAGTGTGATACTACAGTCTCAATATGTCTACTCTTTAGTTCACTACTTAGCTCCTTACAAATTTGCAAGCATGATAAATCTCAAACAATCATTATACCAACAATTATCTATCCTGTATTTATCAAAATCAGGTTGTAAATGATGAAATCGCCCTTAAACAGTTGTTACAATTATTTAGACATATATCATTAATTTTTCTTTTTTTGCCACAAATACTACTGCGCAGCTGATCTCTGTACGCTAAATATTTCATAAATATATTACTCTTGACAATATATTGGCCGTATTACTGTAAACATATTTTTATAATCGATTTTTAATTTTACTTAGATTGCATGATGGCGGCTTTACGGATCCAACTGATAATAATGAACCGAAACATCCAAGTTGGAAAAACTGGATGGATGGTTTAGAACAGTACCTAATCACTGCAGAAATGAAATATTCAGGTGAGTTACTTATTAATTAACACACGAATTAGTAAGGATTTATCGTTCAAAGTGGACGTGCAGGGTACTTGAATGCAGAGCAATTTTCAAATTTTTTTTTATGTAAGTCCATTTGATAATGCAATATTGTATTGGAATGTAGTCAATACATACCTAGAATAAAATCAAAAAGTATCTAGTTAATATAAATTCAATAACAATATAAAAACATTTTTCCATTAAAAAAATTAAATTTAATTTAAAAACGTGAATATTTCTACAGGATTTAATATCCTCCGGCATTTATTGAAAACTCTAGGTCTTCTATAATAATAATTAATAGGAGAGTAAGAAGTTACTTTTTTATTATATAACTGGTAAATTAATTTCATTTATGAATCTCGTACTATACCCGTTTAAATAAAAATTTCACTCATTCATAGATAGTTCAAAAATATATACAAAAGATAAAGTTAAAATATTTAGCTCTTTCACCCTGTGTAACCGAGGAATATTAGTCTTTTATCATAAACGCATTCTGTAAAAAAACTCATAATACTTGGCCCTCTTGTCCTAATAAATGTTTTTGATTCATGTCGTTCAACAAGCTAATAGATGTAAGATAAAAGGTATACCTGGTGTTCTAAATTAAAGCGTTACAGCTATATACCGCTTTTTATAAAAAAAAAAAACGTTTCAGACGAAAGTTTTATAGTTTTGTAGGGAAAAACTTTTGGCTAAAATCGTTTTTTATAGCTAACCATAATATGGTCAACTTTTTTTCGCGCAGCAACATTTTTAAGTAGCTGTAACTCAAAAAGTAAAAGTCCAATAAAAAAAATATTTCCCTCAAAAGTTTCTTATTTTTTTATGTACTTTAAGAATATGTAAGAAAAAAATGGGATTCCCATTTAAAAAAACAAAGTTCACCTCGATATGGCCATATTATGGTCAGCTAAAAATAAAGGAATTTAGCCAAAATGTTTCCCCCAAAAATCTATAAAACTTTTTTCTGAAACTTTTTTTTTCTAAAATGGATATTTTCGGCGGTATTTAACTGTAACACTTTAATTTGGAACACCCGGCATAATAGTTTATGTACCAAGAACTAGGACTCCTAAAACAAATGTTCGTCCGTGGTTTATATGTTATTTTTTATTCGAATGTGCTTAAGAAATTAAAAAAATTAAGTTTGAAATTATTTTATTAAAAATTCTTTATAACTCAACTGGCCGTGAACTGTAAGAGTGCCTAGATACTATATTCTTGATAGCTGCTCTTATGTGAGTGAGCTAAAACAGTAATTATTACTTTTTAAAAGTTATTCAATTAAAACTGTGAGTATTCAAATTTTATAAGCATTTTACAAAGGAAAAAAAATTTAATTTTTACTTTAAAAGGTAAATTATACCTAAAAAAGAACGGTTCGAAATTAGAGCTCCTCGCTATTTAACCTTGCTTTATTGGCCTTGGTCGGCTGACTGTTTTTCCGTAGCATATTTGAAGTATATAGAAAAGTTATGACTAAAACAAAAATATCCAACTTGTGTCACTTTAGTTCTAAAGAGGTGAAACACTTCATACGTGTTTATACATTTTATCTACGACCACATTTAAATGGATTATAATTAAACTTTAATCTTGAACATATAAATATGAGTATATGTAAACGATTCATTGATGTGCGTACCCCCGGTTCTCTAAAAGTACCTTTATTTTAATATGTACAAAAAATACCATGATTTTTTGACCTTTAGACGGGGTCTTATGTTCCTTTTTTTTTGTCATAAATTATTCTGTATAAAGTGTAATTTTACATACCAGAAGTGTAAAAATGCAAATTTTAAAGATTGGTCGTTTATAAAACTTACTTTTCTACTCTTTAAATGATTTATTTAGGTATAAATTATACTTACTAAAATACACACAAAATTGGATGATCATCTGTCTATATGATTATGAATTTTTATCTAAGGTATGCTACTTACATATTTTTTCATTGTAATTTTGATAAAAACCATGTTTTTTCCCTTCTATTCTAGGCCCCTATGTTGTCTTTTGAACCAAAACCGGTTGCCTGTGTTAACATTACCCAGAATAAGTAGTTTTTAATAAAAAATAAATTTGTGTGGTACTGATTGTGAAAATAACCTCTACGATTTATAATTGTCATTAATATATGCGAGTTGTTGTTTCAATTTTGGATGTTTTTATATTTTTTTTTGCTGCTCGAATTGCTTCGGAAATATCATCAAATTCTGAAATTACTAATTCTATTTCAATGCAGTGTTCAAAGTAAAATAAAAATGTTTCGAGCCACGTTCCCCATTTTGTAATTACTGGTTTAGGTGGCAAAGGAACACCGGGAAGTCTGTCTTTACATATATGCACCCTCAACAGGGCCTTTAAGAAAACTTTTTTTATAAAATTTATAAAATCATTCACCAACAGAAATCGATTTCTTATTTCTTCTGCAATTAATTAAGTTGGGATAAAACATTTTTAAAATTTATTTTAAAGATGTTAAAAGCTGGTGTAGACACTGCCGATTTTCTTTTCTTTTAGGATTTTGCCAATTCGGTCAGTGACACCTTCTACGTAAAGTATATAGATAGATAGACATGGTCTTATTCTCCATTGGGCGCGTAGAACGGATTGTCTTTTTTGCAGCAACCGTTTGCTTGTAACACTGTTATCAGGTGTTTTATTTCATCGTTAATATGCCCTGTTTCACATATTCTTAACGCTCTGTTTGCTAAGGTGTTGATAACCGTGCGCTTCTGTTTGGGATGATGGTTGGATCCATATTGTAGGTATCCATCAGTGTGTGTCTTCTTTCTGTATACTGGGGGTCTAGTTTATTGTCTTCTCAACTGACTAACACATCAAGGAAAGAAATTTGTCGGTTTTCGTCCATTTCCATGGGGAACTGGAAAAGTTTGGTAGTAATAACCCGGAAACAAATAATTACAATGTTTTTATTGTTCAGAAATTAGTCATTAGGTAGATACAGGGTGGAGATCTTAACTGGAATAAATTCGCTAGCGGAAAGATAAATAATTTTTCTAAAATTTTCCGAGACACGTCAACATTTTAATATATTTACCTACATTTTACAAGCAATTTGAAAAATATAGCCCTTCGGGGGTAGCTAAAATCACTCTCAACATGTTTTTTTCAAATGAAACCCTGTTGCTAGTGACCCTTCATTGCAAAGCTGATGGAACGAGGAATCCAGCGTACTTATCACATTTTAGTTTCTAGTGCGTTTGGGGGTTGCATAAAATCAAAATGTAATTTAAAGGTTTATTTTATTTTCAATGTAACAAGTGCTCAAAATGTACACCATTAACTTGTTGGCAGCATTCCAGTCGGTAGTATGTTTTGTCTCTTACCTTACGCAACATTTCCGGTGTTATTTTATTGATTTCCTCTCTTATCCTTTCCTGTAGGTCTGTTATGTTGTTGGGTTTTTGAATGTAGAGTTTACTTTTAAAACATCCCCATAAAAAGAAATCCAGTAGTGTAAGGTCTGGAGACCTTGCTGGCCACTCAATAGTACCTCGTCTTCCAATCCACCTACCGGGAAAAATTCTGTCCAGATATTGACGAACAATAGCTTCTCGTCAGTCAATTTGGGGTTCAAGGGATTTGGAAATAAATGCCACAGCAGGCATTAACTCATGCTGGAGAAAATGCAAGTATCTTGCTTCATTGGTAGTATCATCAAAGAAAAATGGTCCTACAATTCTATCGCGTATTATTCCGGCCCACACATTAGTTTTCTGTAGGCGCTGAGTATAAAGTTCCCTTATCCAATGGGGGTTCTCTGTAGCCCAATAACTACAGTTTTGGCGATTTATGTGCCCATTTAATGTAAAAGTAGTCTCGTCAGAGAAAAGTATCCAGTCTTAAGATAAATGGCTTGATCAATACGAGTCATCAACAAATCGGAAAATTCCAGTCGATCTGGATCATCTAGTAGCTCTTGGACAGCCTGCTTTTTATATGGGCGTTTTTTCTCATATTTAAGTATTTTTATAACTGTTTTGTGATTAAGATTACTATCACAGACCAGTTGATGGGCTGGAGTGACTGGATTTTCTTCTAGAGCAATCAAAAAATTCAACTTCGTGTTGTCATCGACAACAGCTTGCCTCTTTCTCGGTATTTTTCTGACATGACCCATTCCTCGATATTGTGCCTCTATTTTACTACCTAGTACCTTGATTTATTGGTGGAAAGTCAGGATGCGACTTTTGAAACAGACGAACAACTTCGGTTTAAGTTCGCATCCTATTACCATATTCAGTGGTCAGCAAGGTCTCCAGACCTTACACCGCTGGATTTCTTTTTATGGGGACATCTCAAAAGTAAATTTTGCATTCAAAAACCCAACAACATAACAGACCTACAGGAAAGGATAAGAGAGGAAATCAATAAAATAACACCGGAAATGTGTGGTGCACATTTTGAGCATGTGTTAAATTGCAAATAAAATAAACTTTTAAATTACATTTTGATTTTATGCAACCCCCAAACGCACTAGAAACTAAAATTTGATAAGTACGCTGGATTCCTCGTTCCATCAGCTTTGCAATGAAGGGTCACAAGCCACAGGGTTTCATTTGAAAAAAAACAGGTTGAAGGTGATTTCAGCTAACCCCAAAGGGCTATATTTTTCAAATTGCTTGCAAAATGTACGTTAATATATTAAAACGTTGACGTGTCTTTTAGAAAAATTATTCACCTTCCCGCTAGCGAATTTATTCCAGTTAAGGTCTCCACCCTGTATATTATCAATGTTTCTATATTAAAGTCGTGATGAGAAAATTCCATTAAGAATAGGTTATTTGGAAGCACATCGGTCGTCTCCCTTCTGTAAAATAGAGGCAGACTGTTTTAATTTGGAATACAATGTACACCCCGCAATATCACAATACATATATGAAATTTATTTTTGCAGACATTGAAGTACCAACAGTTAACAACGTTCGAAACGCAGAGCTACTCGGAATCATTCTGGTTAACGAACACAATGTCTTGTGTGTTGGTCCAACTGGAACTGGAAAAACGCTAACTGTTATTGCCAAACTAAGTAAAAATTTGCCCAAAAAATTCATGTGTGACTTCATAAATTTCTCAGCTAGGACCAGTGCGAATCAGACACAGGTTTAATTTTTTATATTAATGATTAAAAAAATTATGAAATTTTATCAATAAAAAAATATTTGGGTGACTGTCACAAAAAATCAAATTTTATGAATTTATTAACGGCCCTTAAGTATAACTTTTTTGGCCGAATTTACTTTATCATACTTAATTCTGTACAAATTTCACTACTTAACAATAGAATTTTTATTAAATTCTTGAAATTATTCTAGCATTTAACTTTTTTTTAGGAACAAGAATGTAAAAAATCTGTTGATCTCTACTTGATGAGACAGTAGCCTAAAAAATATTGATTGCTAATCGTAAATACGATTTTTTTTTTGCCTAACTAGAAGCCGAAATTTTCTGATTTGACCAAAATAGACAACTTTGCGACCTTGGTACACAAATAACTGTAGAACTGAAATTAAGTTGAAAACGCAATCCTTACACTGACATGTTTGTTTACTTAGTGAAGTCCGTTGCGAACTTTTTTGCTTTTTGTAAAACGCTGTAATACAGTGTACATCAAAAAATCTGCAACAAATGGAAAACTTTTTTATTATTTAAAAATTTATAGGGGTTAAGCAAAATGGGGTAGATGGAGAGCTGGCTATGGAGGGCTAGGGGTGATTGGTAGGTTCGATTGTTACCGACATAGCGAGAAACGGGCCGCAAGAAGGCACCCTGGAAGAACAACGTAAGGGTAGAGTGTTAAATATGCATTTTTTTTATGTAAACTAATTGATAAGGTGCAGTGCTGAAAATTTTCAGAATCATCATAGTGTACAAATGTGTGTTTTCAAAACTCGCCAAGTCCATTTCCGACAAAATTTGAGTAATAGGTGGCATATTCTTTAAGGTAGTTCACTCGTAAAACGGCTTTTCAATAAATTGAAAATTAAGGTTAATGAAAGTGTCTTTTACGTAACTAAAAAAAATTACATTTGTATTACATGCATTGGTATTACATACACTTGTATTACATACATTTGTATTACATACATTTGTATTACATACATTTGTATTACATACATTTGTATCCAAATAAAGTCATAAAATTATCTTCCTAAATAACAAGTTTTTTTTATATCGGAACAAATTTCCGTTTTCTTAACTCGACCTTTGTCTGAAAGCAATTTGACGCAATTTGACGCGATTTTGCTAGCGACAGTCTTCTCGTTAAATTGTTAGGCAAAAAGGGCTCGTTAAGTAGGACTCGTTGAAAAGGAAAATTCGTCCGATCAAAAAAAACTTCTTGTGTAATTATCGGCGACAATGTTTGAATGTATTTATAACACAAAATTGTGCTCTTTGAATGCCACATTTGGTGATACAAGATTTTTTAGTATTTATTTATATTGTTACGAATGATAAGGAAAGTTATGTAAGAATTTTTTTAGGTAACATACAGAGTCCTAACTATTGGGACATACAGGGTGGTCAAGGTTATATCGTCAGGATTTTACCAGTGTATCAAAAAATAGACGTAGTTTGTCCGATAAAACATGGTCCATGGTATTAAAGTTTGTTTTCTTAATAGTTTTTTATTAATATTTAAAAAAGGCTTCGACAGATTTTACCGAACTTTTTACGGTTGGTTGATAATTTTAGACATGTTACAATTAATCCAATAATTCCAGAGGCATGCTCACGGATCACTTGGATTAGTTTTCAGCACAAAAAATATCGTTTAGTAGATTTTTGCTTTTTCATATTTTTTTTTTAAATAAACGGCAGATACATAAGACATCGTAGTCGGCTCGAATCAGGGTCATTTTTGTATCCTGTCAACTGTCACTTTTTTATGACGTTTTGAAAATTTCTTTTTGCTTTTTCGACCATTCATTACAAATGAATAATTTTTTTAATATTTTTCCCAAATACCTCTCGCCTCTCTCTACCTCAACACGCACACGGATTTTTTAACGGGCGCCATTTTTTTTTCGGACAAATTTTGAATGAGAGATGTTCGAACGAAACATCCCGTCAGCGTCCCCGAAGGGGTCGCTGCACAATATTTAATCACTTTTTATATGTTTTCATCATTTCCGCGATGTCTACTAATTCTATCGAAATATTTCCCTTTACCTCTTCTGTTTTTTTAGAGAGGAAGTAACATGTGTTTTACGACTTTTACTTCCTCTAAATGATCAAGTTTGGTCATCTTTCCGAAGCAACTTTTCTTTTTTAATTTTTTTCGCATCTTACTTTGCTTTCGAGGAAAAATTGAAACTGACAATTTTGCACGTCTCTGAATACCGGAACCATAGAAAAACTAAGGAGAATGTTTGAATAATAGGCGGGAATTGTTTTCTTGTTGGTAGTTTATCGTATCGAGCTTCACGCTCTGCGATCACTAAATATAAAGCCGTTTTTACACCTATATAATAATTAAAAAATGAATAAATATTTGAAAATCAATAATTTTACTAATGCAATCTTTTAAATATCACTTTAATACAAAGTATGATCAAATACTAGACATTCTCAATTCTAGTCTAGTAGAATTAGCAAAACCTTTAAAGTACAATATAATATATACATATTTGACAGATCTACTTGTCCAATAAATCCAGAAAGATGGTGTTCCACCCATTTTACCTAACACTGTTTGTTTTTAATATTAGTTAGTGCTTCATCTAAAACCTAAAATGCAATCATCAATAATCGAAAATATAAATACTTAATGTATCAGATCACAAAATGTGTGCGAATACATTAAAATCAGGACAACATGCACTAACCTTTTAAAAATCAATAATAAAAAAGTTTTCTATATGTTGCACACTTTATTATTTTTAAAAACGGAAAAATACAATTTTTTTTTTATTATTATATCTATTATATACATTATTTTTCGATTTACAGGATTTAATAGACTCTAAGTTAGACAGAAGAAGGAGAGGTGTATTTGGGCCGCCAGTCTTGAAGAGACAAGTATTTTTTATAGACGATTTTAATATGCCTGCTCTGGAAGTATATGGGGCACAACCGCCAATTGAGTTAATCAGACAATGGATGGATTTTGGAGGTATATTAATAAAAACTTAATTAAATATAAAAAACAGTATACAGTGCTACTAATCAACCAAGGTATGTAACGATTATCTGTTTAATTTTATTAATTGCAATATGTATTTAATGTGAGCAACTGTAGTATGTGTAAAGGTGCGATTTTCTAGCGACGCGACGTCCAGCGTTTGCAGCCAGCCTCGACGTCTGGCCGTCAGTGACACAAACAACGCATTTTGAGTGCAACTGTTTTGTTTGAAGCGTCTCGACTCATCGTCTCAGTGGCCGAGTCTCGACTGCTCAAAAACACAAAAACACTCCAAGGCGCGAACGCCGACCCCAACCAGGGCTGCCGTTTCAGGACAATTGTACTAAATTTAGTACATTTCTCACAGCAAAGTACAAAAGTAAATTTTAAGTCAAATCAGGGATATTTTAGTACAATTTGAAATACTGATCATCTTTGTGGCACCATCTACTCAGACAACACACCAAATCCCAGAGATATCCTCTGAATATCTTTTGTGGATATCCAATATATCCACAGGATATCAGAAATATTCCATGGATCTAATATGGATATCCAAATGTCCGTCTATATCCAGGATATAGAAGATATCCTAATGGATATTCAGCAAAATATCTAATGGGTATCTTCCAGAAAATACAAGAAATCGCAGAGATATCCACAGAATATATTTTGTGGATATTCAATATATCCAATATGGATATCCAACCAAATGTCCGTCTATATCCCAGGATATAGAAGATATTCGGATATTCAGCAAAATATTTTATGGGTATCTTTAGTAGAGGTTCATAAGTAACCAATGATTATTGAATAACGTCGAAAGAAAATAGCAGAGATAAAAAATATTTTCAACACTCAAAATATTTTCAATACTCTGCCTTTGATTTCGCCCGTAAGGAGAAAGTCATCCTTATTAGGACTCTTCAGCAATAAATGAAAATTCTCGACTTCAGTCTCTAATGGAGTGATTAGGACACACATTTCGATCGAACTCAATTACGGCGGGTCGAGCATGAGTGGTATCGCCATCTATACTTAGTAAGCAGAATCAAATAACATCTAGTGGATATCCACGATGGTTTGCGTTCGCGCCTAGACTTTGATATATTTAGTGGATGTTCATGGGATATTGAATACACCTTAAAAAAATAATTTTAAATATCTGAACGGTACTATTAGCCACAACGGCGAGTACAATGGCGTAATTTTTTAATAATTTGCTATAATTACTATTATTTATGGACATTTGCATGTCTATAAATTACATTTCATAGATATAAAATAGATATCTACCATGGACTGGACATTCAGTGGATATTGGGATGTTCAGTAGATATCCAAAGGATTTGGTGTGCTGTCTGGGTATGTATCGAAAGCCTAAGTTTTCCGATATTAGGATAAGTGTTGTAAATATTGGGAGAGATTACAGAACGTCTGCAACTTTGCAGATCTGCAAATATGGCAGCAACTTTGAAAATCTGCAAATATGACTGACTTACACATGCAAGTATCAAGTTTTCGTATTCCAAATTTGGGTTTAGTATTGTTGGGGGTAATAAACCACAATAAATATTGCGAATTTGCAGATATTTTTTGGAATACTTGCATTTGTAAGTCCGCCATATTTGCAGATATGCAAAGTTACAGATCTGCAAAGTTGCAGATCTGCAAAGTTGCAGATCTGCAAAGTTGCAGACGTTCTGTAATCTCACCCATTGGCGGTATTTTCCCTAAAGAACAGGGTTTTTACATAAGGTACATACCTATAACGATCAGAAACTAGTCACCGACTCCAGGATTCTGAGCAAATTATCTATTGCGCACAAGTCTGGTGTCAGTTACTGGTTTGTGATCGTACAATTTATTTTTACCTACCTTGGTTAATAGATAACAACTTGCCTTTAAACTTGAATAAAATAATAAAATTTGATGCCTTGGTAGGATTCCCCACTCGACCATTCACTGTTGGGTTCTAATTAACAGTGCTGTTCCTAAAGTGGCGCTGGGAAACAGTAACAAAGCCTACACAGAACACACATGATTGAGAATTTAAACACAAATTTGAGACTGGCATATTAGGTATATACACCTAGGCCATAAACCGAAAAAAAAAAAACATAACTCTATATTCATATTAACGTTTTGATATATTCCAGTAGTATATTCCAATTCCAAAGTACATAAGCAACAAAAATTAACAACTCCCATCCATCCTATAGTTGACATAACAACTGTCAACATACGTGACAATTTTGACAATTGACAGTCCATCTAAAATTTAGTACATTTTCCTGGAATTTTCTAGTACATTTCTAAATATCTCCGCAGCAGCCCTGCCCAACACTAACATTTATTTCAGTTCTGAAGAAGCTACGAAATTATTCAATTCCAGCATTTAGAGGATTTCGTATAAAGATCTTGTAAATCCCTTCTTCCCTTCGAGATTCATACAATTAACTTGTTTCATCGCGCATCGATAATAAAATCTTTATATTATCACCATTCTCTTCTTCCAACATGTGTCAACCTGTTGATATATTTTTCTTAGGATTTAACCAATTTAGAAATCAATGTTATAGATTGGTATGTAATTAGGTATTTTTGTTAGGTATTCTCAAATTTTGTATATTTAAGTAGTATATTACATACTCCTATAATTGGATGTAAATAAAATAAATAAAAAAATCAATAAATAACATTAATGCTATTAAAATATTCATTTTCATTATGGCAACAAGCAACTTTTAATTAAACTGCGAATGTTGGACGTCGCTAGTAAATCCCACCTTAAAGGTGTAATTTAAATTCAACTACTGAAACGACAAGAGCCATGCGGATTAAGTCGCGCTGTTCTAAACGCCCATTAATGTTATGAAATGAAATCATTTGTCACTTCTTCCAATGAAGCGTGTATTGCCGCGCGCCCCAAGAGACTGTCTAGGCGAGTCTTGACACCAGTGTTGCCAATTAAACGCAAAAACCGCAACTTTTGCACTTTTTTCTGTGTTGCGATTTTATTGCGCCCTCCACTTTTTGTGGATTTTTTGCAATGTTTACCTGCAAAGGCGACTGGTAATAACATATTTTTCCTTTTTACTCTTATAAATAATGAATGTTGATACTTAAAACAGACAAATACAATTTTAAGAAAATGTATGTCAAAAATGTATTAAATATAAAGTGATTACTTGTGAATTACCATAAACCATTACCCTCTATTTTGTGCTTTTAAAATATATTTGAGGCAATATTTTGGCTATTTTATGTTAGTAATAATGTTGCGCTTTTTATGCTGGAGTTTTGCACTAATCGTTTCTTCGGTATTGGCAACACTGTTTGACACGTACAACTCAATCAGCTGTGGTATTAGTGCTTTTATACCAGTCGCAGTGATCGGTAGTGTTTTGCAAGCAAATATAGATGATTCAAATTTAATTGAGCTAATGCGCCAACACCCATGCCAGTACAATCCACAAAGGACCAATATAAAGATATACAAGTCAGGGATAGCGTTTGGATGAAAATTTCAAAAGTGTGAAATTTTTTTCTTTGACTAAATACATTTCATGAGGAGCACACCCATCTACCAACATCATTAACAATTATTAATCTTCTTTTTGTTGCTTGAGAAGGTATAATACACGTGGTTTTGTCATGGCATCTACGATCGTACTGAAACATAATCGCGTCATTGACAATAGAGTAAGCGACTCTGATCGCGCGGCATTGAAGCACTTATAAGTGACTACGATCGCAGGAGGAATTGAACATATCGGTTGCAAATGCGATCGTAACTTCAAGATAAAAACGCATATTCTGAATCGCCAAATTAGTGAGAATGTGTGACTACAACGGTAAGCCAAAATTTGTTTAGGATCATGTATCAATACCTAAATATTTAAGCTACCTATATTTTAAAAGTAAAAGTCGGGATAGATATAAATAAGAAGTCGAATTTCATGCTTTATGTCCTGGATTTCGAAGATGTGTAAATCGATTCTACACATATTTTAGAATTGACGTTGAAAGTTTTGATGAAACTACATTTAGAGAATCAATAGGGGCAACAGAATGACTAGCAGTAACATTAAGGTAATAAAGTATTTTGTAGGTCAGTTTATTACTCTTGTAAAAAAAGTATACTGTGATACAAAAAAAATTCATAGATTTTATGGATTTAGATTTGGGTATGAGAATAATGCTCATGCCATATGGAAGCAGAACCATTATTGTCATTGAAAAACAGCCTCACGTACATTAAACGAATTTGTCGCTGTGGAAAAGAAAGAGGAGTTGTCATACGGTGATGTAGGTCTAATATTCGGCATATAAGATGAAAGAATGAAATTTTTCGAAACACTTGTAGCTGGTTGACTGTAATTTGAAAAAGTGTACCAGGTCGGCTTCCCATCCGAGTTTCCTCTTTTTCAGTCAGTTCTTCCATTATGATTTTCGCTATTTCATATTTTATTACAGACTGGCGTCGATTAGACAGTTTTTTAACGCTTGCAGCATATCTTTGAAATGTTAAAATATGCTGTCGCAGTTATTTTAAACATTAGAGTGCCTTTTATCCAAAAAGTCAATAACTTTGTCAATATTGGTGTGCGCCGGGTTTTCTATCGCCTTTTTCCTCTGTTGTGAATTACGATTATATGATATTATTGTCGATCTTTTTTGCTCAATAATCCTAGTACTTACATCATTAACATTTTCGGATTTTTTTATAGATTCATTTATATTCTATATTGTTATACTGTAGAACTTTGTGCTATGTCATATATAGCAGTAATGTTAGACAATGTTTGTGCAAATGCTCTAAAAACCTCTATAAGCTGTGTCCAAGGCCAGGCTTTATAGCGACATATGGATTTAGCGACCTGTCTAGTTCGTGTTTTCTCGGAGCGCAAGTACTTTGAGAATCAATTCGTAAAGTTTTTCCACAGAAGCAAAGTAATGCCGTTTTCGGTTTACTGCTCTGGGGCAAT